CTGATAAATAATAATTAGGGATAATATTTAAAAAAAGTAACAGTATTATTAAAGTATTTTATAAGTTTCTTGATGAAATATTCTTATAAAAATAAAAGTCAGTTGAGTTAATTAATTATGAAGGAAAATTTGTCGAATGCATACGTATATAGATATATTGATAAGAATGTATAATTTTACACAATCTGTTCTCTTTTTTCTTATGATAATTATTCTTTATCAAGCAAATACAGTACAGAAAGTAATCTAGAAGAAGAGAACAATACAAATTTTTTTTAATTTTTTGAACACTATAAGGAAAGTTAAATATCAATAATTGACACTGATTATTTGATTCACAGATGATTTATACATCATATTAATTAGGGAAAGATCATATTGTTCATATCTTGATGATATAAGACTTAGTTGTGTTTTGTTTCTTGTATAAAACATTATTACTCTTTTAAATGTTCATTTCATAGGAGATGATATATATATATATATATATATATATAATATATATATATATATATATATATATAACCTGTAAAATCTAATCTTTCCATTGATTTGGAAGCATATTACTCATGTGTTTGCTTACATGCTCAAATAGATTGTGTTGGAGAATATGACTTATGTTTAACGATTGGAATGTTCGATTTTGAAAGAATCATTCGGTGATTCCTAGTTTTTTAATGGTTGTTCAACTAAAGTCAGTTATACGATGTACACCATGAGGATTATTAAGTTAAATAAATGCATCTATAAGAAGATAAACGTAAAAATATCATGTTTCTTGTCTTTACTATGATGAATTTCTCAAGATACAGACTAAATTCAAATAAAAATGATTTACTTTTTAAAGTAAACTATCTGTTATGTTATCAATGATATTCTCATCTGTCTATCTTTGATAAATTCGTTGTATGATATAAGTTTCTTATGATTTGAGTTGAGAATTATTCGGTATAGAATTTTATTATTGATCAAAGCAGTTTTTCATTAAATATCCATTGTCTTTAATTTGTCCATTTAGATCATTTAAAAGTTTCATTATCATCTATATTAATTAATGTATATAATGTTAGATTAATTGATTGATAGTTTCCAATATCCATTATCTTGTTATGTCAATGTAATGACAATTAAATATAGACAATTTATTGTTACGAATAAAATTAAAGTGTTTCCTCTTTTGTAGCATAACTACACTTTATTATTTTACCATTTTAATAGTTTGAATGAACTTCTATATCAATTTGTCTTTAAAAAACACTTTACTTACTACTAAATTGGATTGTATGTTTAGGAAATTCATACAAATCGTGGATGCTCACTGCTGAGCAGTTCCACAATAGGATGAAACGGCCGTTTAGTGCTTCCAGGTTTTCAATAGTGGTCTAACATCAATCGATTAATGATCTCGATCAACAACTTATTAATCTCCACAACAACCCTATACTGGAATCAAATACTTTACACAGAGAGCATTGTCATAGATAAGAGAGTACTGTTTGATAACCAGCCTCAGACAACTGCAGTATTTTTGTGTAGATTGTTACCCGATCAGAAAGCAAATTTGATAGTTGATAACATAACGAAAGAGAAACGAATTTTACATTACCAATTTTTTTCGTTAAATTCTGCAGTTTTTTTCCCACATAAATTGAAAAAAAATAATGACATGAAAATTATTGCATATGGATTTAGGTTATTCGTTTTTGAGAGGCCTAACAATGATACAAACAGTTTATCAGGAGTTTCTTAATTGTTTATGAATTTGGAATTACGAACTTTTGTCTGTGGTTTATGATCAGGTTTATCACCAAGGTTTTAGAGTTAGGGTTCAGGAAAGATTGTAGGACATATGGCTAGTATTAAGTAACACAGTGGATTTGTGTATTATGTATAATATAAGCAGGAAGAATTGAGCATCTCTTACACTTAACACTGTCATTTATACTCTGTAGTGTAAAAAAATAATTTTTGTTTATCATCACATACATTTTGAACGTCTTAAGAAAGTATTTCTATTACTCCTTTTACGTGATATAATTAAAAATGCATTCATTTTCGAAATCTGTACAAAAGCTAAAGTTAGTTTCTTGGCCGCATATGTCTAGTTCGTCCCATATGTTTTTGATCAGTCATCTACTGAAATTCAATTTATATCTTACATTATATCTGCTCAGCAAAAACTGAAATCACAATTATCGTTATTACTAAGTTGTTTTAAAGAATAAAATCATGTTCATGTTTTTGTAGTTATGTTAATTTCAACGTCACATCTAGGATCTGAGTAATCAAACTGTTACATAATGAAGGCTTGATAAACTGTTCGTTACATAATTTGACCACTGATACACTCGAATATATATATATATATATATATATATATATAAGCTTCTGTTCAAAGCATTGTCTATAGTGTTACACATCCACTGAAAGATAATAACAATCATCTGTTTACATCCAGGCCGAAACAAAAATTATTTAATCAATATTTATCACTCATATAAAGTTGTGATTTACATCTTTTTTCCTACTGTAGCATACTTAAGTAGTAAAATAAAGGATTGTACTTAAAAATATGAGAAAAAACTCAACACTTTTTGTACAGTTTTGTGAAAAAAACTTAATGAGAGTTGAATCCACTTCAGTATAAACAGTAATCACCACTGGACTATAAGCATATACTTTAATGAAGTAACACATATCCATTACAGTCATGGAGATTATTTGTATAGGTTTCCTATATTGGTGTGATGTAATTTGCTGTGATTATTTAATTTAGCTCATTTTATAAAAATTCAATTAGGTTATCTTTTGATGAATAAATAAAGAAAAAATTTAACAATATAGGTTGAGGTTAGAATTTAATAATTTGTTGTGTAAGAAGGATTCAATTTATCGAATTTCATTTAATGACATTACTTACTTATTTACTTATGCCTGTTACCCCTCGTGAAAGAGCATAGGTCGTTCACCAGCATTCTTCACCTAACTCTATCCTGGACAATCCTTTCCAGTTGTTTCCAGTTACCATTGATCCTTTTATGTCTCTTTCCAAGTTCCCATGTAGTGTGTTCTGTGGTCATCCTTTTTTCCATTTCACTTCAGGATTCTAAGTTAGGGTTTGTCTTGTGAGTCTGATGATGATGTATGTCCTATCCACTTCCAACGTATTTTTCTAATTTCCTCTTCAACAGTAAGTTGGCATGTTCTCTCCCACAATACGCTGTTGCTGATAGTATAGGGTCAACGGTCGTTGAGTATTTTGCGTAAACAACTGTTAATAAATACGCGTACCTTTTTGATGATGGCATTTGATTATACAATCACCATGATTCCTCTTGAATACTTGCTATTTTATGCCCTTTTTATTTATCGTTATTTTTGAGTCATATATATATATATATATATATCATTTGGTTGATTTTGTTGACTAATCTATATTTCAAACATATTTATTTATTTATGTTACATATAATTTGTCTTTATAAAGAACAGTTAAACTACATCAACTAATATAATTATCAGAATGAATGTTTGTGGAAATTGTAGTAATTTTAATGGTTGGTGGTCTTGCTTAAATTTACCCATGAATACAACTAATAAAACTACTAGAATCATTACATACCTCCCATTCTGTTAATTATAATTATGTGCTCACTAGTGATTGGCTTCAAGGTGGATTTCCTGGAGTTCAAGTGAGAAGCCATAACCACTGGATTCCAATCCGTGTCAGGTAGAGAAAGGTATCTAGCTCAGACAATAGATGAAGGAATGCGCAATATCATAGATCGATTGGAGTTAGACATTAACAGCGTTGGATGCAGGCTCAGCGGTCTAGAGGTTAAAAGTTCGCGCGCGGCACAATAGGTTATGAGCTCGAGTCCCACGTGCAGGATCGTGGATGCACACTGCCAAGTAGTCTCATATTGGTACGAAACGGCCGTCTAGTGCCTCTAGGTTTCTAATGATGGTCTAGTTTAGATCGACTTATGAATTCAACTATTAAAATGTTGTGATTGCCAAATAAATTTCTCATACTCAGATATGAATGATTGACTTTTGACGTAACTTCAACAGTAATCTATACTTCATAAGTAATAACACTAGCTAGTTGTTTTACCCTATGCACCTTATCTACAATTAGATATTGAACTGGTCACACATTGTGACCCAACTGAATATAATCGATTTTATTTGACAGTCAATAAATCAACATTATATAATAACATTATATCATAATAAGAAAAGCCACTCATTACGAAGTAACAGTTTCAGTCTACCGATGACCATTAATAAAACACTAATCATATACTATGAGGGTAGTGGTAATAAGTTTTCAATATTATGCTGATCAAAACACTATATGAATCAATCAATATTGTTATACGTTTGAATATGTATTCTGAAAAACGAAAATATTATTTCTGTGTAACCTAAAAAAACAGTCTTATCTGATGGATCGAAAAGGTCATATGTCACACTTTCTAGATTTAGTTTGAAGTACATTTTAATGATAGCATAGGTGTATGAAAGAAAAACAAATTGATTTTATTAGTCAACTGTCAATTCTGACATCTTTGGCTAATCTTGTCAATGTAACAAATGTGACTAATGATTTACTGTTTGCTGCCACTAGTAACTAGCAATTGTTTCGTGTTATGTACACTGTCAATATTATTTTCATTTGTCTTGTATGAATATGTATGGGTAGATGTATCATGAATGCATCAGAATCACATACAGATATATATATATATATATATATATATATATATATATATATATATATATATATATATATACTTTTCTCACCAACTTTGTCGTTACGGTGATCAGTTTCTACTATTTGGAGAATAGGCACCATTAAAAAAGATCTACTTTATTCAAAAATATTTCATTTAAAATTCTTATAGTTTATTTAATTCTGTGATTTATCATTTTCGTATTTCTAATATTATAACGTTTCCTTTTTTTAAATAATAATTAAAAAAACACAATTCTAGAAGGCGAGATTATCTCGTTTAACAGAAATGAAAGCTGTTGCAGAGAATGCATTCTCTGAAGGTAGAAAACGATATAAAAATAGGAAACTATTGGAGCATCATAAATCAAATGTAAATGTGATAATAAATAAAGATAATACACAAGAAGTAAACGATATTGTACAAAATGATGAAATGAATAATATTCAACTTCTTGAGTTGAAAAAGTACAAAGCTGATGAAGTACAACAAGAAAAAGATGTAGAAATGTTCCATAGGCATGAAGTAGAACATATACAGAAAATGGACCATGCAGGAGGAGAACGAAATGTTTCAACTGAAGAGGATAATGAAGATGTTCATGATTTATTTGAACAACAGTACTATCATCTAATTGACTGTTTGCAACAAACAACTGTACGTTTTTACTTTTATTTTTTCAGGTTCATACACATATTTGTAAATATTTATTGTCTAAACATACTTATATTTTCGTGTTATTGATTTATGGCTGATAGCGAAATCCAGGAAGCTCATTTTTATCCATCTATGACTTAGTTGCATGTACCTACACTCTCATTTTGTTGGTTTACATATTGGGACTTCAACTAAGTACTTTTTGTTTCGAATACCTAAAGCGTTATCCACTGAGCTACTGAGTTCAGATAGCTATTAACTAATTCAATAGATATGAATATGTTTTCAAACTTTTCTAATTTTCTATTGATCAGTATTTTGATCACCAGAATAATACACAAAATTGCTTTCAATAAGTTTTATAAAACTACTTCTTTAAGATTAAAAAATTTCATCATTTACGAAAAAGCCGTTACTGATTTATTCAACATACATTTCTAATTCAAATGTATGCAACCAGAACGATTTATATAATTCACTTAACTTAACGAACCATTGAAAGCATGACATTGCTGTCTTTTTTAATGCATAGTCTCAAATATTTACTAAAAAACCCTGGTTATTATCTCCCCTAGTCTTGAGTAAGCAATATTGAGTTTAGCCATTTGGTTAAAATGACTTGAAACCAACTATAATATGCACATATGGTTCATATTTTACAACTGATCTTGATGAAATATAATCCGCTGTTTCGATCCCACAAGTATGACATAACCGTTAGCTAATTACTGGTCGGTTTTTTAAAAGGAAAACTGCGTTAAATTTATGTAATAATTTCCGAACAATGAAATAGAATAGAATAAATACCTCATATCAGTGCATTGATGAATGTCATTATTAACGTTTCCAAATCATTATACAGGATCATTAATTATAACCATTGAGCGAAGGAGAGAAAAAAAGCTAAAATTAACTCTCAGAAGCAAAACAATAGATTGTGAATATGTGAATTATTTTGTGCAGTTTTCATCTATTCACGGCTTATTATCTGAGGTCTTAAACTAAGGGAAAATTTGTAGTGGTTGTATAGCATTAGATAGAAAATGTGTTGATTACCTCAAAACTTCGATGAATTTAAATAATCCGCTATCAAATTAAACTATGGTAACTCATTCGCAATCGAAACGAAGGAATAAAATGTGAAACGCATTAAAACCTAGTTTATTTATAGTATCTGTCTAAATGATTGATTTAAACAAAGATTTAACTAAACGAGCATTGGGTTATCCTCAGCTTTCGTAACGTTCAACAATCGTGTTAGACCAAACAATTCCAGTTATTTTCCTATCCAGTTAATTAGTGACTGCTGAATATTAAACTAAGATTTCCTCACTGAAGACTTCATTTTAAACGTCTGAAACTATTCAAAACCATCTGGATAGATCAGCTAAACATTACTAATGAAAATCATGAATAAGTGGAAAGTTGAAGCATAAAACAAAGTCTTTAGTAAAACGTACACCCTCATCTAGATTATCCACTTAACAAATGAACAGTAAGACCGTGAAAATTGACGGTGTTAGTGAATTTAATAAATATTGAAAATGCAACGGATAACTTCAGTCACCAAATATGAGGTGTATTTCATTGTCTATCTAAAATGCATTAATGAACAAATAAAAAATAGCTACTGAACAAACCGAACTAATTAAATCCATGCATCTATGAATTGATTTTATTTTACTTTATCGTAGGGTCTAGAAGTTACTGAATTTAATAAACTGACATCAAGTGGAAATAACAATCGAGTAACAAATATTAAATTGAACACCAGTGGAAAAAATGTACAAAAGCCTAAATCTTTTAACAGTACAAGTAATTCGGGTGAATTACAAAGTCAACCAATAAACATGGTACCAGTGCGGTAAGTTTCCTAACGATTATACTATCATTTACAATGTTACGTTTAGAACGGAAGATACTTACAACAATTAAATCTTCTTTTTCCCCAGATTTAGTAAATCAGTGATTTGCTATCTACATAAATATTATAAACCTGGACAAATTAAGCAGTATTGCTTATAGTTCGAAAATTTTAGGTTGACTTTTATTGATCTGTAAAATAGATTTATTTAATAATAGAAATAACAATTATGTTTATTCGTTTGGTTTGTTAAATTATTCTGTAACAGTTCATAGAATTTACAAGTAATTTACAGACTGACGCAAATTTATAGACAGCGAAATAAAATTTTAAAGTAATTCAAAACGGAGAGCATTAAGGATTTATATATTTATTTACGGTTGATTAAGCATAACGCATATGTTTTAGTTATTACGATGCATAATATATAAAACAGTGTTTAACTGACTAGACAGTGTTTGGTTGTCATGTACAGTGGACGGGATACCGTTGACCTAGATTTCGTGCCATTTGGGACTCATCGTCAAGGTGTAACTGTAATCTTGAAGTAACTGATGCTCCCTGTGGGATTTAAACCCTGATCACGTGGTTTCTCATTGTAAGAAGTTAGAAATAAGGTACACGAGCTGATGGTAAAATTTATTTACTGCATACCAGGTTATTTTCATTAGTCAGTTCTGCGTTCGAATCTCTTTTTATGAAACCATTATAACTAGGAGTTCCATATTGATGACTGAACTAACATAAATATTTCTCGCTGATAATACTGTAGTTAATAGTAATGCACAAAAATTTCTCCAATCATCATAATAAGTGTATTTTTGAATGAGTGTTTCTTACTGTAGGCACATTATTCACAGTAAATTTATAAAGAAACTCAGTTATACCTTATTGAATGATGATTTAACGTAAAATGACATGTACATCCCAGCTGCCCCTAAGCACCTTGGTACGGCCGGGAGTGGGGAGAGTCCGCTCTCCCTCTCCAAATTTTCTCATATGGCCACGCGTATATAGCCTCTGCCAGGAAAGTCCTACTCGCTGCCTTCTCGTTGCGGGGGTCTTTTGTTTACAAAATTGAGAGGACAAAAAGCGAATGTCCGGCGCATTACCCGGGTTGGTGGACATGGAGAGTCCACCTATGGGAGTTGGAAAATCTCGATCCAAACCAGTGGTGCACATGGGCTCCAGGACTCTGAGGGAACAAATGGCGTATGAGCCAATTATTGGTCACCGGCCACCATGGGACTACATCTCCTTACGCGGCTCGACTGCCTTGTGGATCAGACCTTTGGTTCAAAGGCTCGGAGTGTAGCCCCCTAACAAAACCACCTGTTCTGTTTTGGGCACCCGGTCAGTATCACATCACTCACACGAATCAAGTGAGATTTATGTGGCGCATATGTATTTGATGCCTCCTTGTACCTATATCTATGTGTTCAAATAATAATAATAATCCTTACTAAATCTGACTTATTATTATTAGTTAAATGAATTACGAAAAATACCAGTTATTTACAAGTTATGTGATCATTTTAATAAAACAATTGATTTACATTGCAACTAAGATTAGATTATGTAATGTTAGTTACCTATTGAGATATTAATTATAAGAGCATATAGTAAGTCCTCGATGTTCCATGTACCAGCTATAACAAAATTTATTTTGAATAATTTAGTCACCATAGAAAAAATCATCCATTCTTTATTTATCTTTCGTGATTATTAAAATAATAAGACTTAACCTAATTATATTATTATTTTTTTCTTACGTATTGATTATTTAATGTTACTATTTAAGCAATATTTGATTGACCGACATGTTCTGTAATGTTTCCTTTAAATCAAAATTAATTATTTTTTATTATAATGGATTGAAAGGTGTAACAATAGAAAATGACATTTTATATCAAACGAACATTCTATAAATAAGTCAGAACATTATTATGTTCATTCTATTGTTTAATGTTAATGAAATTTAACAACCTAGTAGAATTTATGTTGAAAAAAGAACGTTGTTTTATCGTGCTTTATCTTTATAAAATAAATGTTCTGATTTCTGAAAAAAAAACATAAGAGGATAAAACTAGTGAAATATTTTGTTTCAATAGTTGAGATTATGAGTCATTTGAAGATAAATCACCATGGAAAACCTGAAAGCACTGAATGGCCGTTTTGTCTTAGTATGGGACTCGTCGACAGTGTTCATTTATGATCGCGCCTCGCGAGATTCGAACCCAAGACCTGTCGGTCTCGTGCGTGAACGCTTAACCTCCAGACCACTGAGGCGGCATCCAACGGTGTTAATGTCTATCTTCAACTAATCCACAAAATTGGGCGACATGTTCGCCATTGTCTTTAATGAGTTATTGTCTCATAACACACCCGGTTCAACTCCACTGTTCACTGCTTTTCACTAGAACTCCGGAAATACCTCATGAACCCAGTCACTAATGAGCATATATTTTTGTGAAATTTCTCGAAAAGTATGTAATTCTATTTAAAGAGTAAAATATTCTTTATAAACTAGTGAATATGAAAAGTAAAGAAGTGTTGGCGAGACTATTATTTATGAACGAACTAATCAGGTATAAGAAAACAGGTCTCAAATTTTTGGGCGAAATTCACTCATCCATTTGACGAAATAGAGTTTGGGCATTATAGCCGAAGTTAGTTTGTGATGAAAACCCAAAATCTTGTTCCAAAACCTAATCATCAACTGTAAATCATGATTCTAATTCCTCACGCTGTTTTATAACCCTCATTTTGTCGTAGTTATTAGGTCAACACTCTCAAGGTCAATTAAGCGTCGCTCAAAGGTCGTCCATAAATTATAGTCTCACCAAAGTGTTAAATAGTTCGACATATTTAACTCGAAACGCTAATCCTAGTTTGCGTTTGTATAGTGTTATTAGTATGGCTTATTTGATGTCTTAAGAAAACTGACTCCCATTATAGAAACTGAGTAAATCATTCTGTATTATTGTTAAAGAATTACTGCATAACTGCCTGAATTACAATTAACATGCTATAGGACAATCAAAATCTAAAGTCATAGAGTTAGTCGTTATTTCCTTCATACAACCATCTAATAAAGTATTAAACTACTAACCTTACACTACAGATTCATTGGTATAGTTTGATTCGCACAAAAGCCTAAATCTTATGGCTTAGCTCTAGTAGATACTGAAAATTCGAATTCATTTTGTTAATATATTAAATGAATGTTCATAGAATTTTAACATAACGGATAAACATTCATATAAATCATAAGATATATTAATGACTACTTAAACTACTATTCAGTTTGTACCATTTGATATTAGTTAAAATCAATTTTTATATTCAGATTAAATATTCTCTATATTACTTACTAGTAGTAGTAATAATAATAATAGTGATAATAATAGAATAACAGATTAATTGTTTTTTCATTATTAATTCCCTCTTTTTCTAAAAACAAAAAAAAAATTGCTTTCATTTTAATAAATAATGAAGTTTCATAGAAATAAACAATTTAATATCAAAAACAAATGTTTATTCATTATGGGTAATTTTTTTCTCCATTTTAATTCAATTTATCATAAACTTATTTATTTCAATGTACACAATGATATTCAAATATAGTTTACAAATATATAGCTATATATATATATATAGAAAGTAAATATTGGCTCTTGACTGATAAATGTTTGTTTTAAAAGTCAATATTTGTTATGTGCATATCTAATGTATTTCTAAATGTACAAATTCAGAGTTTCCTTGTTGTTGTTTTTTTTCCATTTATCTTTTATTTATTTTAAATATTTCTAAAAATAATTTTCATCACAAGTTGATTTTGATTAAATAGAAACTTTATAAAGTTATAATAACTATATATACATGTTTTATTTTAGCTGGAAACTACTCACCAGTATGAAAGTATCAGTAGTTTCTTTTTTGATATTTTATTACTTGTTGTTAACACTGGTTAATAATGTAGGTTATCAATTTGTGAAACACTATAAAGATAATGTATAATGATACTTAATCTGTGAAACTATTTACTTTTTCCATCTTCACAAGCAGTTGTTTTTTAATCCAAAAGTAGTATAACATATACTATATTTGATGAATTAGATAGATAGATAGCATTAAAAAAAAAAGACTTTTTTTATCCATAAAATATCTGAATAACTTTTTCTATTTCGTGGAATTTTAATACATTCAGTTGAATATCATCCTTTGAATAATTTGACAAATAGCTTATAAGTGAATATACCTTTGTATCAATTAGCAAAAAATAATCCAGGCGATCATTATGAACAATTTAAGTACAGAGAGAGTTCATTTGTCACCAAATATGTCACGTAAAACTATGAGAATCCAATATTCACTAATAATGTTTATATTAATTCTATGTTGTTTATATCTATATCTATCTATCTATCTATCTATATATATATCTATCTATATATATATATATATATATATATATATATATATATATATATATATATGCACATATAAGGATCTCTACTAGTGAACTTAATAATTTAATATTTCACACTTTGATATCAGCGATTTAATCTAGACAATCATCGTCATCTTTGAAGTTTCTCTTTTCGATCCGTGGTAAGCTATTGAGTATGCACTATTGAGGAATTTAATAATACTTTCTAACGCATCCTGGTTCTACGTGGTTGTTTAACTTGGTCTAATTCGTAATATGAAACTACGAAAATCTTCCATCTCCACATCATTCTATCTTAAATAAATTTATAAAGGTAGTTTTGTAAAAACGTTCGTGTATATCGATAGTAAATTTCATCATAGTAATTAAATTAATAAATTCAATATTCGGTAAATAACCTATAGATGAAGTCAACAGATGAGAATGTTGTAAAGATAAGGTATTCAATTCGAACTCAGTCGTCTAAAATGTTATTATAACTACTATAGTTCATAATAGGATGGAACATCTGTTTGATTATGAATTGTTTTCTGTGATTTGTTAGTTGATATCAACTGTTAATAAAATTAATCTTAGCAATCTACTTCCATCAAATGTTCAAAAGAATAAAACGAATAAACGTATTAGTTAATATTCCATCTACTAATATTAAAACACCAAGCTATTAGCGTCGGTCATTACAAAGAGGTTATCAATTAATTCATTGTTGTTGTCAGATACACATTTTTTATCGCAAAATAAAAATGAAAAAAATCTCTTACAGTATTATATATATATAAAGCTTTCTGTTGTATGGATTTAAACTTCAAAGAATTCTACTTGAATATATATTATTCCTCATACCAGCAATCCTCATGGCCATTAAATGTGGAGGTTATTCGTAGATTAGTGATATTCGATCGTAGGTGTCTAGGAAGCGTTAATTATATATTTTGGGATCACAGAGTAAGCAATTTCTGAGTTAGGAATAGAGTACTAGGTGAATATGGGAAATCGATTGGTGTGTCAATAAATGTTCATTAAGTGAGGTGGTTGGAACATGTATTACGTGTACGTGATCATCGCCTACCTTGACAGGCGATTTTGTGCGCTGTAGGAGTAGGCTGTAAGAAATTTAGAGGCTGTCAAACGAAAACATGGCATCAGTCTATGAAGTTACTGACAATTGGACTTAGCCATATTGATAAGTACAGAATATGTGGTTGGGTTTTGCGTGATTATCACTACCAATGGCTCTTGTATTACATGGCTCAAAATCGTTTGCAGTGGCACATGTGCAGCCACTCTATGTCTTCTTCGAACTTTTGAGGTTTATATTTTGCTAATTGGTATTTTCTTTTCAAAAAGTATCTTCGAAGCCCAATCTTTCCTCTTACCACTGACACCATTGATACCTCTTCTATTTTGAGATTCGATCAGACAATATCTCGTGTGTTATCGAGCTATGGAAACTTGACCCGACTTATATTCTTACAGGTTCTATTTTAGGACTGACTGACCAACTGTTCTTATTAATATTATAATCCTTATTGTTCTCACCAAGTCTTTCTTATGGACAAAATGATGTTTCTGACTGAATTATAACATTCTGATAAAAACACGTAAGACTGGAAATAAAACCAAATAAAAGACTTTCTATTATGATTATGAGTGAGATATAAATCAGTGTTTATATGATTATCAGTAAACAAATTTTTTCAAACATCAGGAAAATTTTAATAATCCTTCAACTTCTACGACAGTTGAAAAGAAAAACTCAGAAGTTAACTGTGTGTAGAATGAAGAAAGTTCCAATTATATCATGTGTGAATTTTATTACTCAACATAAGTAATGAAATGTTAATAAACAATTCCACACTATTGTTATTCTAATAATTACTAAAAGTTATTTTGTTTTTTGACGAGGATTTTATGAATAATTTTTAGTGCTGTCACATAAAGTTTCCTATAGAAAGATGATGCTAAATCACTTAGGAAAACTAAAATAAATACAATCGAATGAACTGCATTGACTGTTTACTTAAAACCATGGTTTCTTCATAGGTGGTTAAAAATAATAAAATTAGCTGTGATAGGAGTTTTTCTGTTAGTTACTAATGTTCTTAACAATATAAATTTGAACAAAATCATGTAGTGTCACGAAATAAGCAATATCTTATTTAGTCATAAGTTATATCTCTCTTAAATGAAACAGACAATTTATTGATTTAGTACATTATATCAATATATCAAAGTATTAATTGATTTGCGCCGGCTATTAGTTCGCCCGGTACACTAAAATTTATTTATCTGTCAGATATTCAAAGTATTAGTACATTTTATTGTTAATTTTGATGTTATCTTAATCAGTGTTTTGTGATTAAATAATTCTTCGTTTGTAGTTCTGCTTTCTTTATTGAATCATAACAGAACTTTCTTCCGTTGTAATAAGTAATAAAGAGTAGATTATTACTTAGTCATAACTAAAAACTTTACCAGTGACATTAATCAACATTTTTTTATCAAGTTATAATATTAAGTAATAATAATTATGTATTGTGTATTGAATTTTTATTTTAAAATTCTATCACAGTATCTTAAAATATGAATACTGTACATGAAATACTTTAATTGCATATTTTCCATCAATTATCTCTTACAAACTTCATTGTTTCTCCATTTCTGTTGTTATCATAAAAACTCCCTGTTTACATCCCTATTCTGTTCAATTCAAAATTCTCAAACTTCTGTTGCCACACATTTCACTTTTCATTGGTGTTACATACTAATTATATCTGTCGACATAAGTAGCATATACCTTAATTTGAGTTATTTGATTTTTTTTAATTTAAAATTTGAAGAAGGAATAATCATGCGGTATTTATTATTCTATTTATATACAGGTATAAGCTATTATTTATTTTTAATACTTCGTTCAATTAAAACTTTTGGACAGTTTCTTTCAATAACAAATTCACTATTCCGTAGATTTATCTTAAATTTAACAGGAGTTATGACCGTTGTTTACTGTGTTTTTTTTTTCAATAAAATATTTAACTTTGATCCCTGTACGAGTAATAAATAATGTTAGTGTTCATTAGCAAACAGTTCAAAAAAATACATCTATGTGTGTCTTGGTATTTAACTACAAAGAAGTGCTTCAGTATATAACTGATTTTTACTGATCATAAACTATTAAATGTTTATTGACATGATCAGGTTAGAATTAGACCTAATAGTTAGAATTTAATTCCACTGGAGAGCGAGTAGTCTGTGATTGCTATATCTTTCAGTTGTTGACTTATTAAATTATTTCTAATCATATCTATTTATATAACTAAAAAATCACTGAATACTTACCTAGATCGTATGTTCTAGCTTGATAATCCATTTTTTATGAAATAAATATTTTGCATTGTATATCATTAGTGAACTATTTTCAATGTTCTTTAGTAAACTTTTTAAAACAAAACATTTCAAATTCACTTGATGTTGTTTTACTTGTATCTTCCCATTGTTATTTAGGACTGCTGTTGACCAGTCCCATGTTCGTCTATGTGCATCCCGTACGGACCGCCTCGATACAGCCTTAAATCACAAGTTTTTTATGCAAAGATGGATAGTGACTAGAAGTGGAATTCAGGATGCACGTTTCGTCTTATTTGTGACTCGTCAGATGGATGTACGTGCATCCCAGAGTTGATGTTTACTCCGGGACGTCATGGCGTTTCAAGCGAACGGTATTGGGTTCGAGTCCCAGAGTGAATATCAACTCTAAGCTGCAGGTACTTCTAACTGACGAGTCCAAAATGGGACGAAACGCGCGTCCTGCATTCCACTCCTAGCCACTAACCATCTTTGCTTAAAATAACATTTATTTTATAGTTGAAAATAGTACCTTACGAATTCATCAATATTTATAGTAATAAACAAAATCAATTAATTAAACGTGAAACATTCCAGAAAATTAATGACTGATTTTGTTAAAAACTTATTGAAACTACTTTTGTTTTCATATCATATCGTATTCTCATTGTGAATGTCAATATAACAAATAAAAACTAACAATCTTATTTGTAACCAGAACGTCATCAAGCTTTATTCGAATATATTTATATATTTATATATAAAAATATTAAACTGAATAGTTATGTAATCTATTTCATTATGATCATTGATTCATCAATTGCCTTAATTGGTTTAATATTTTCATACGTTTTTCTCATCTGAACAAACTATACAATCAAGCAACAATCATGAATTTCCTCTTATGTTTTCGGGGGGGGGGTGTATAATTTGTCTTATTTTTTTCTTCTTAAAATTCAATTTTCAATTCATTATACTGATTGAACTCAATGTATACCAGCAACAAAAATATATTTTAAAACTTGTATTATGAAACAAACTATTATTTACTGAAGTAATATCTGTCAAAATGTTCAAGCTGAAGATAGCTGAATGTTATTTCAATAATTTCTACCAAATGTTTTATTGTCAGTATTAACATGATTCATATTTTTAAAGAAGAGATTGTTTTGTTACAGTAATAATTATTTCAAAGATGACGGATATGATTGTAGTATTAAATAACATCTGTCAATCATCATGGCAACATATTACAAAGTGATTGGGTTGCTTTGTTTAATGACTACTGTAAAGTACCATACTCAGGTTAAGTTGAAATCTAACTTTCATGTTTGAGTTGGCGATTACATCTATCGACATGATAGTATAGTAGTACTGTCTGGCCCACTCACATTTTCCGTTGTTTACATTCATCTCCATAGTGGAATTTTTGTCACATTATACACTGAAAACATACTGATTTTAACAGAAGACATTAAAAGAAATAATTAAAACCAGGTTACAAGTGATAATATCAGAAAATCAACTTATTTTGAATTGTCACAAAATGTTTCCCTAACAGACGTGATTGTAACTTTCAGTGTGGTATTTCTGTTAAATATTTCTGAATAGACTTGAACACAATGGATTTACCAACATGTTAAAGTACTAATTCTATCGATATGATACTTACCACGTAAACTATGTTTAATCACGTTTGTAAAAACATCTAATGAAAAATGATATTAGTAAAATTTATGATATTTATCTCTTTCATTGCTGCGCAAGCAACGCATGTACGTAGTAATTGACCACTATTTGACCATACAATAGTCATACTATTTTATTTTAAGAAAATATTTTTCGTTGCTTATAATTTGTACTGTTTTCCTAGCAAACTTTACCAATATACTAGGAACAAAATACCACTAAGAGTGAGATGTAATAATAAATTTAGCAAGCAGGGTTGTTTAATTTAGCTTGTTATCTACCCCTGAATTAATAATAATAATAATAATTGTTATCATTGTTTTAAAACCATTATATTCTAGACGTAAATTGATGCTACCACGTTTACGTCGATTTTCAACATGTTGTCATCGGAGAAGACGTTATATGGACAGAGATCGAACTAAACTATCATCATCCAATGCTGGACAAACTCTTTCCTCCAATCCACATCCTGATCATAATTCATCGAAATACCCTTTGGTATCGGTCAATAAAGCCAACAGTGAAGAAATTGTAAGTGCAAGTTGAATTGATAAAAGAAAACTAAGAAATTTTCACGGCTGACATTTCGTGGTCTTCATCTTTATTTCATTAAAATAGTTTATTAACTATAGCAATTCACTACTAAGTACATTCTTTGTCATTTGACTGAATCAAATTATGCATACTGAAAGTAATGTAAATAGAAATGTTAACGATGAATCCAGTTAATGATTAATTATAGCTGAATTTATAACAGTTTTACTCTATACAATAAAGATGTTTTTTTAGTCCTCTGTTATTTTAAACTTAATAATGTTATAAATGATGCATTTACGATCCCTGAAACACCGATAATGCGTACTTGCATAACTTACTTTTTCTAATGATGTTAACTCGGATCAATCATTAAAAATATGTTATATGTCTACAAAAATGTTAAAAAATGGGGTCATATTTCTAAAGTCAGTAAAATATGTATAAAGAACTTAAAATTTCAACTTTGTTAATAAATATGTATCATATTTCCATAAATCAAGTTCAACATACATTTTATGATTAGTATATAAGGTCAGTGAAAACTGTTTGTTTATTGTAGATTACATCACAGACCGACTACAGGTAAGTAATCGCTGAAAATCAACATTTTTCATTCACAACTTCACAAGAGATCCAACCTGAAACTTTTAGACTTTTCAGAGAACGTAAAGCCTTCAAATCATTGAGATGACATCTATTAGTTTACATTTTTTAAAACAGGCAATTTTATAAATGGAGTAATCACCATTTAATTCTGACGGCGATACCCATATCATGCCCTACATAGTTGATATTCACTGGTCACGGTGCCCGTTATCAATTAATTTCGGTGTGACTATAATTTATGGATAACTGAAACGAATTTCATTCCGAAATCCAAGACTTGCTATCCCTAATTTCATTTGTTCGTTCATAAATTATAGTTTCATCGAAATCTCACTCAAAATAAAACATACATGCACACGACAACACTTACTGTATTTTTCACTTCATCGATAAATTCAGTAATTAATTTGTTTTTCAAGTTATACTAATATATTTCTTCATAACAAAATAATGGAATAAACATTTATATTAGTTCCAGTAAGAAATAAAATACACAAACCATTTGTTTTCACATCAATCATATGAGCTTTTTTTATTTTTCTTAATAATGATAAAATCTATATTACATAATTCCTTTTACTAATTTCTTTCCTTACACATTTGTGGTCAGTAATGTTATGTTATTGTTATCATCATTAGTTGTCCTTATTACATATAATGTTACTATGTTATTAACATCTGTTATTTTCTCTCATGCATAGATTCATTGACGAAATTCTATTTTTCTATGAAATATTAATAAGTCAATTTAGGTAAAAAAAAAGACTAGTTCCAATATCTCTTGTGTTACACTCGATCTATTTTTCTTTTGTTAAAAACAAAACGTATAAGATTATTTATTTGTTATTGTTTAACATAAAAATAATAGATATATTACCAATACTTAAAACTACAGGTAGTTTTTTAATGCATTTTAGAACGTTTAATGTTAACTTAATCATAAAATAGACTTACCAAATCTATTAATCGTTTGAAAGGGTTTTATACAGACTAGTTAGATTTGTAGACAATGCTTGTTAAAGACTAATCTCATTTGGAAAGTTGAGAATCAAAGTGACATCAATTATATTGAATAATCGTTATACAAATTAATTGGAGTATTGTATCATCTGATGCAGACTTAGTAATTTTAATAGTTAAGCGTTTACCGCAAGACCTGAAGGTTCTGGGTTCGATTCTTATTAGAGCTATGGATAGAATTTTCTGAGTAATCATTTACTGGGACTAAGCACATGTCGATTATTCCCTAGTTCCTAATGGTACATTGCATCAGGTTGATCTTTCGTTTTATTGTGAAGTGATTCCGCATGAAATTAAACTCAGGACTTCAATTATAGTTCAGTCAGAGTTATGGATAATCGAACACAATTTCCTTATTCTTAACTTGTCAAACTACATCAATTATAATATTTTCACCAAATGCTTAAGAATCCATCTCCAATCTAGTCGCTAAGGAGTATAAGGTTATTACCATAGTCAATATAGTATTAAGGACGAAGTTGTAAGCCATTTTAATGAGAAATTTAACCAGATACTATAAATATATAAATAATGATATCACGATAATTAAAGCATTCTAAAAGTGTGTGTAACTTATCCTACGTTTTAATTAAAGATAGAACGCAAACATTAACTATATATACATGGCTGTTTTCTATTAGAGTTGAATTATTGATAAGTTATGAAAGTTCATCAAAATAAATTACTTGAATCGAATTAGATATAAACATACCACTTAGCAATCATTATTCTAGGTAACCAAGATGTTTTTTTTTGCACTTATCATTTTCATTATAAATGAAATTAATTATTTACACTTATAAAGTTTTGATGTTTACGGTTTACTATACTTATTAGTTCTTTGATATGTTTTCAATGATAAAGTATTCAGTACACATTAAGGTTTTTATCATGAAGTGTACCTGAAAATAAGACTTAAAAAAAGAAACGTTTGATCGTTACCTGGATTTAATAACAAATAAAATACCGTAAACATTACCTTGAACATTCGAATTAACTAGCAAAATAATTTACTATAAAGATATTTTATTCTAAAGCATTCACTAAATCATATTCAACACTTTTTGTGACTCAACATGCATGACAGAACTATATATTTACTTATTGGCAACAAGTAGAAAAATTCTCAAGAATTAATTAAATAAATTTAGGAAGTAATATGGTATACAAGGTGGTCTGCTTGAATATCTGAGCTACCTGTTCCTGCCATCTTGATATTTCAGCAAGTTATCTATTTTCTTATTACATTTAACACATTATTATGCTTATTAGTCTCATAATCCATTCAGGTGCGTTTGTAGAAAGTTTACGATATTGCGTTGTACAAAAAACAAAAAAGCTCGATCAAAGATTTCGCGGTTGCTGGCAATATGCATCAAAAAGAATGCACATTATTCAGATGTCGATTTCTGAACTGTTATCGTCTAATTGGCGGTAACTCACTATTTATCCCAAGGATCAATCGAAAAATAACAAAAGGAAACTCAGTGGAATACTTTGTGCTGACAATTCTGTATTGTACCAAAAATATAATATTGGATAAAGCTAACGATAGTAATAAAATTGAAAAACAGTATAATAATAAGAAGAACAGGAAACATTTTTGATAAATGATTAAACTTAAAGATACTCATTGTTTTCGGATTGATGAATCATTAAGTAATTTTCATTCTCATACTTCTCTGGTATACGAGTATAGACCAGATTCTGTCGAGCAAATTTCATCGTGACCACTAGTCCAAGTAATATGGCATAGGGTTCACAATGTTTTAATATTAAATACTTGAGAGTTTTTAGCAGGAAATCTTACCAAGAAACCAAGATTCATGATTTTTTCCCAACTACTTTTAAACATCTAAAATCTGCTTTAACTCGTAAATGCAATACGTATTCTATTTAGAGTAAAGTAATTTAAAAATCATAGGTAATCAACTATGTTTTATCATAAACTTATAATCCCAGTATATAAGGTACATCAAAAAAAACAAAGCAATTAATAACAGAAGTTTAAATGACAGCCTAGTGATGCACTCTTACTGCTTAAAGGAAGTACTAATGCTTCTTTTTTTGAAAAAAAAAAACAACTTTAAGAACTTTTTTCTCTCTATTTTGCTGTGACATCTACTTTGTTTCACTTTTTAACTATACAGTGTGTCTGTCCACTTTTCTTACATTTTAGTTAAAGAGAAAACAGAACGATTTTTTTTAAAAGATGTTTTTGTGTCTAATAGCAACTGATTCGATTACGTAACTTATGCTTTTCAAAATTTCTTCCATATTTTCAAAAATGTATCTGTAGAATATTTATTTCACAGTGAAATTGTTCTGAACAAAATCTTGGATATTAAACCGAATTACTATATCACGCATAGTTACACTCTGTATTTGTAAAATATGAAAATAATTCATTAAATACATTCATTGCTCATTTTTCTTAAGTTCTCCTTTATAAACTCTACCGTTCTTTGATTCTTGTTGTCATTTTGATTACTTTCTTTTTCCTGTCTCATCTATTAATTTTTCTTTTCTGTTCGTAAGAATTCTACTCTCGATCCACAATACATACAACCTAGATCTGTCCGTACAAGTAGTGCAAACTATACAACTATTAGTTGCTTATCTATAAATATTATGAGCATGCTAGCGGGTTATGAAGTAAGGTGCAGTTGTTTTCTTTGCTACTCACACTACATCCCTTAGTCTATCAATATGTATTTCAAACTTTTTAAATATTTATCTGTCTCTGTATTATTATATAACAGTAATGCGTATTAGTATGAATGAAATTGGCCAATTTCATTCAGGTAACTAAATAAATTTGAATACTATAAGTCCAATGCATAGTGCGTATTTATGTGAGCGTGAATTGCCAGTCACATTACACAAATCAAATAAAGACTCACGGGAATATTAGTAATATTCTCTGCTTAATTAAAGCAATGTTCTAGATTGGTTATACTATTACAACAATGAAAAATTGATATAGCAAGCAATCGATTTTAGACTGAACGATTTTTTTAAGTATGTATACTTAGTCACTTACTTGCGCTTATTACTCCATGTTTACATAGGCCACTGACCGAGATCCTTCAACCTACTCTGTCATTAGATACCCTCTCCAGTTGTTGCCAAGTGATTTTTATGCTCTTATTATCTGCCTCTGATTTCCGAAGAAATGTATCATTTTATCTTCCTCTTTACGTTCCCATTCACGATTCCAAATTAGCACTTGTTTCGCGAGGCAACTTGATGATTTCCGTAATGTGTGTCCCATCTACCTCCAACGCCGATTTCTTCTCTTTTATAGTAGGTTGTTGCTGATGGTATTCAGTCAACGGGCAATGTGTAGACAAATGTTCATAAATACCCGTACATTTTTGATGGTGGTTGTATTTGTTCTCTACGTCTTAGCTTCGTACAGCAGAATTGATTGACATTAGTATTGAAGATTCTGATTTTGATATTGGCATTCAGACATTTGTTTTGAGTTCCATATGTTCTTTAATTGTAGGAATGCTACCCTTTCTTTGTCAATCTTTGCATTTACATCTTCATCAGATCCTCCTTGTTTATAGATGATGCTGTCCATGCATGTGAAAGTTTCCATATCTTCCAGAACTTCTCCATCAAGTGTGATTGGGTTAGTGTTGTCTGTGTTATGTTTCAAGATTTTGGTTTTTCTGTTGTATATGTGGAGTCCTACTGTTGTAGAGGCCTCTACATTGTCTATTTGCATATAAATATATAGTTATATATATATTCATCTAAATTATATATACAAGTAATCTGTAATGCTCTAATAATCAAATATCTCAAGAGTTTTATCAAAACTATGTCTGAAAATATCATTGAGCTGAATTCATTCATTTGTTCGATATAAATCATTTAAGTTAATTAAATATAGTTAGTTATCACCAACAATTAGTATTATCAATAATAATGGGTTTGTAAAGATT